ACGAATATAGTACATGATAAAGTACCTGTTGTCTCAACTTAGCTATTTATCACGGGTCACGGGCGTGGAACAATGAGGAGAATTTTGAATATATGAATTCTATAACTGGAGAAACCTAGCCATTTTCAATAGTTCTTAGATTATAAAGCTTTACGTGTATAATATTTAGACAATAAGACTTTGCTATTGTCGGAAAACATTTATCGCTCTGCAACAAAGATGCTTTCTAAAAATAATTTGAAGGGACAAAATATTCTCAAAGTAACTAACGGAACACTGGTTTGCAAGGGTGGAAAATGTAGAAAAAGAGCGAATATGAAGATAGGAGACAAGAAAAGCGTATCTGGGATGTCAGATAAGTCAGGACGAAAGGAGTAGTACGGACATAAAGCAGAGTAAAGCGCAGGGTCGAGTCTCCTTCAATAAAAAGAAATCACGTCTATGCTCGAGAACAATTAATTCAGAAATTCGAAAAAGATTGTTAAAGGTGTATGTTTGGAGCAAGGCGCTTTATGGGTTCGAAACGTGGACGGTGGGCGCGGCGGAAAAGAAAAGGTTAGAAGCACTGGAAATGTGGTGTTACAGGCGAATGATGAAGATATCCTGAATAGAGAAGGTTAGACTGAAGAGGTATTAGAAAGAATGGGAGAACAAAGAAGTCTATGGAAGTCCATCAGAAATAGGCGAGATAGGTTGGTAGGACACCTTCTCAGTCATGAAGATCTAGTCAGAGACATATTAGAGGCAGAAATAGGAGTTAGGAGGAGTAGAGATAGACCTAGATTAGATTACTGTTCCCAAATAGTTATGGATGTGGATGTTCTAGGTTTAGAGGATTAGCTCAGGATAGGAAATAGTGGAGGTGCGTGTCCAACCAGCCTTAGGACAGACGACTTTATGATGATGATGAACCCAAGGAATAATATTATCAATTTTTACCGCTTGTTAAATAAACACCCAGTATATTTAACTAATCAATATTGAATTTCAGTTAATTGAATTTATTAACCATTATCCAAAAGCAAGAAAAATAAACAACTGAAAATAGAATAGTTCAACTTTGTTCAATATATTTTTACGTAATAAAACCGAATGTTGTTAATCACAAAGTGAAATGAACAGTTTCGTAATAATTTTGCACTACATTAACCATATTATTTGTTAGATCATGTCAGTACACATGCAAGTCAAATATGGTATCAAAATTTGCTTTTATAATTAAATTTGGATTCCTTGTTTAATATCAGTCAAACAAAAGAACCCCTATGCATTCGTGAAGATAAAAACTAATTGTTACATTTATTATGTTTAATTAAATTTTAGTGACAATACAGTTTAAAAAAAACCTTATCAGTCCGTTATTTGATATGTTTTTATATAATATTTATATTNATTGTGTAAATGATAGAAATGTCTCTCTAAATTGGAAATAAAAGAAAGAAGGGGGTTGGGATGACATTGCAGAAGAATAGTAAATTTTTCTTAAGTGGCGAAGAGTAAGTTGGGTGGAGGGGTACTTTGAAGAACACTAATAAAGTCTTTGGGTATAAGTGGAGGGGTGGAAGTGACAAATTAAGAAATTGACAACTCTTTTCTAACCTAATAAAACCAAAAAACAATTGGAGTGATTATTGCATTCTTTTTTTATGTTTTCTGGCTAAAATCGCTCCAACTATTTAAATTAGTAGATCTAGGGGAGATATTTATTTTCAAATTTTCGATTTTTCACTTACACGCCTTCACCATCCTCTTTTTTTTAAAACTTGTTATACAATATCACTTTTCATTCACGCCCTTACCAATTTTCACCTATACCTTTCCGTTTCCACCCTTCTATCACTATCTAGAAAGATACCAAAACCCGAAAGGGAGCCCCATCATCTGCACAATTACCAATTTTTAACAAATACAACGCTAAGTTAATTAAACTTTTTGGTAGTGAATTCATAATATTTATTGTAATAGATATGTTCATAAAACCACTGTTTTTAAATATTAGTACGGTAAAATTGTCAAAGTCCCTTGTAAAATCATTAATTTAATATTTAATTACCCATCCACAAATTGCACTAGAGCACTTAACTCCATTTAACGTTGCGTTCACCATAATTACTTATCAATTTTTTTTACGTACTTCAAAGTTAAAGTTAAATATTTTATACTTACACAACACTTTCCATTTTATCTTTTTCTGTAAAAAGGCACATTTTTGATTCACCCTTTTTCATCATTATTAACATTACCTAAGGACTGTACCGACAAGTAACGAACGACCTGATGCACAGGGCGTTACACCCCAACAAATGCATCTTCATATTTATCATATGTATACTGCTCCAATAACATAAATGCAAACGAAAAAAGAGACAATAGAAAGATAAAGATAATAAATGAGAGTTCGCATGGCCAAAAGCAGATAAAAGTGTTTCAATTACGTAATTAAACGTACTGTATTTTTACTGTTAATTAAGAAATAGCGCCGCGACCCTGCCACGTGTACATACGTACGTATGTATAATGTGAGCGTTTGATATTTATTTTGATTTTTATTGCTATTGTATGTGTGTTTTGTTTGACGTAGTAATCGGTCGCGTTGCACCGTCTTGGGAATTTTTTAAAAGTAAGTAATGAGAAGAGCAGAGTAGAGTAGCACGCATTTTCGGATCTAATTTATTGAGAAGGCAAAGAGGATGCACCGATGCCGTTTCCGGTTCCGGCGTTGCCGCCGCTTCCCAAGCCCACGAGGTTGCTCGTCTTGGAGTTGCGCATGAGCGGCTTGTGATGGCGCAGTTCCTGATTGTGCTGCCACTGCCAACAGGTGCGACAAAAGTAGCGAAAACACATCAGTTCGCGACAAAAATATGGACCCTGTTGGACACCGCACATCGAGCACAACGAATCTTCCAAGTAAGGATCGACTTGTACCTAACAGAATTGAAGTTTTTGTAGGAATTGGATAAAAACCTAAACAAGCAACTTAAAAAAAAAAATATTCGTACTTTCTCTTTCTGGAGAGTGGTCACTTTTGTGAGGATCAATCCATTCTCTATGTCTATGTTCCCAACCATAACTTTACTTTCAAGAACTCCGCAGCAGCACAAAAAATTAATATCAAAAAATTGTCTCTTAATTTGTTCAACAAAAGTTTAAAAGAGAATTATTTTAAGCGATTAGACACCAGACGACCCAATTCTTTACAATTACCATTAAAAAATAGTAGATTAAAAACTATTAAAGCCTGTTCGAGAAGTTTTAGTTGTATTAGTTATTAAAATATTGTTAATTACACATTAAAACAAAAACGTGAAATTTTAAAATGGATTTTCGTTTTTAGTTTTCCGATCAAATTTCGCAATAAAACTGAACTGCTTTCTTCGCTTCGCACTATTGGTTGCATAGAAATTGCATTCTGATTTGCTATTATTATTATTATATGCGTATGTAATAAAATCTGTCAAAATGTTGGACCACGCAAAGCCCTCTGACTTATTTATATATTTAAGTATTTTTAAATAGCTTAGGATTTAGGATTTGCTTACAAGGTGAAAATAAGGAAAAAAAGAATGAAACCAAAAAAATTCATAATCTATTCCAAAACGAAATACCAAACAGTACTATTTCTAAAGGTCAAAAATCACGCACTTAAAATTGATTAACATTCTCTATCATTCATCTGATTTTTTATATTTAATGTTTTGTTTTGTTTCACTGCTATTTTTTAACAGCTTAACCGATGTGTCTCGCACATTTAATTATGTCACTTGCATTTTTTTGTCAAGAACTCCCGAACAATGTTTAAGTGAGTAACTGAACGAAACATCTGCAAATTTAATTTTCAATAACTAAAAAAATTAGAAATGAAACAAAATGTAACTAATAAATATTACAATTCAAATAATGAAATTTCATAATTTTTAATTGAATTTTGTTTTTTTTTTCAATTTTATTTTATTTCTTTTCTTATCCATTACAATTTCACCAAATCAAATGTACCTGCATCGATATTACAATCATTGAACTAGGAATATCAGTCATTAAGGATAGATCAGCAGCATAATAATAGAACAAATACAGACGAACTACGAATCTACCATATATAAAAAAATACAACGCGTAGTTATACAACACGCTACTGAAGTGAAACTTCTTCAAACACACAAACATACCGGGATAGGGGTTAAGAAATTGGTTTAATGGTATTATTGTACAGTATGAATTTAAATTTTACACTATACATGCCGGAGTTGCCTGTAACGAACGTTGCATTGAAGCACGCTCACGGTTCAAGCGATCCCCCCTACGAACTCGACTACGTGGTCGAGTAGCAGGGAGACATCCGTTGCATGATTTCGTTACATAGCAACTCTCATGAAACGAACTTACCCTACCGTGCGCAAAGAAGTTTCACTTCAAAAATGAAGTTAAATTTTGGAAATAATTTTGACAAGATAAACCCAATGTTACTGAGGTGTCCGTTGTTCATGTGTTAAAAGAAACGAAACCCTTCTTTCCAGAAATCGGTAAAGCTTTAAAAATTGTGATCGCTGTACCGTGCACAATGTGTACTGTAGAGCGATCCTTTAGCAGCCTGAGTCGCATTAAAGCCTGGCCAGGAAGTACGATGATCGCCTCAGTAGACTTGAGAGTTCATCGAAAAATTATTACTGACAACATAGAGATTTTAAAAAGATTATATTTTAACTAAAATATTGTTATCTTTTAGTAAAGGATTTACACAGAAAAATTGTATTAATTTGTACCTATAATTTTTATTTTCTATCTTTCATCTTGCCCCCCTCCCCCTGGCCTTTTGACTGGCGTCACCCTTACAAACATGTACCTATATTGGATTACTATTCCCGAAAAATTGTTATCAAAGTAACAATTTGTAAAAGTTGGCACTTGTTTCTCATTTTTTCTTATCTCATAATAATCCAAATTTATGTAATTATTTAAACAATGTTTTATACAATAAATACAGAGAAGGATTTCCGTCATAATTAGTTTCTCTGTAGTAACACATCCTTCGCGACACTAAGTGATAATATGAACTGCAACAAAGGTAACAGTCCAGTTTTTACTTTTTTTGTCTAAGAATTTTCAGTTATTTGCAATTCTGGAGGCGTGTGTTATATAACTTTCAGATATTGGTCATGCTAAACAAAGCAGAATCCTTTTTGGTCCACCTGCAAGGAAAGAATTTCATGATTCGCGAGGATTAGGAAGAATCATTTATGAAAAACTCAAAGACAATGGAAACAGCGTTATGCAGGTAATATTAATGTAGTCTTTCATTTTTAATTTCAATAATGAAATTAAGCAGAGTGAAATAAAACGTTGCGAATAATCTTATTAAAATTTAGGTTTACAATTCAATAAGCTTATGTATCAATCCGTAACATACCTGTATATCAAATGCTAAAATTGCAAAAAATCAGCACCTTATCTCGATGGGTTTGCATTAAATTTAATTGTCAAACATCGCTCACCTCAAATCGATAATAGAATCAGTTAACTGCTGACACAGTAAATACTTTGTAATAATTTTGCCAATATTTTAATTACTTTCTTTTATTATGCCTTTTTTAATTGCTTACTTACCTCTAATAAAATAAGGACGAGATGCGTCAAAAAATTTTTGCAACAATGACGAAAAAATGAACGCTATGCAGTACTATACTGCAGCTATTGTTATGCAGGAAGTCTTTTTTATATTAACTTATAAATACAATTTATTAAGATTGGATGTTGGATATAATTAATATTTTACTTAAGAACAAGCGAATATTACATATTATTTATAAAGTTACTAAGTTGAGTATTTAATGCAAGTTGCATTCTAACTTGATATACCAAAATGTTGTATTTAATTTAAATTCATTAAAATAATAATTTGACGATAGATAAAGGATTAAATTATCGTATTAATAAACATATTTTCCTAGCTTATTTATAGTTGAGAAATGTATAAAATGGCAGGGAAATTATTACCGTATCACCACCCTATCGTACTTGCTTCACGTGATTCTTCAATCTTAATTCGAATTCTCCATTATTATTTACTATTCCCGTCATTTAAACTGGTTTCGCTACTGTAGATGTTAGCTTTGCGATTCTTGTAAAAATTGAAAATGATAATTAGTTATGAATTTTCAAATTCGCCTTTAATTTTTATTTAAAAAAGGATCGCGAATGGCGAAGAGTAGTGTTGCCCAAACGCAAGAACAAGACGAGACTTAGCCAGTCTTGGTCTTGGTCTTGCGCCAATACACCTGGTCTTGGTCTTGGTCTTGGTCTTGCGCTCCCAGTCTTGGTCTTGGTCTTGGTCTTGCAGCAAGAGTCTTGCAAGTCTTGCAATTACCTATTAGTCTATTACTATTTATTAAAGTTTACTTTAAATCCTAGAAAAACGTATTAGAATTGGAACATTGTGAGCTTGAATGAATATAGCCATAGTAAAGATCAAGCAGATTAATAAATAACTGAAGATTTGATAAGAAATTCGAAAAATCAACTGACCTATATGTCGTTTTCCATGGAAGTAACTGTTTCTTAATAAACATTTATGATCCTTGCTTTCTACCGCGCCGCCTCGCCACGTGCCGGCTCTATGATAAGGATGCCGCCGCAAATCAAACAATAATATAAAGCGTGTAAAAAAATTCGAAATTATTTTGCATGAGTATACCTACACCCTATGGCGGCAATCAAATAGTGTCAAATGTTATGATTTCGGCGTGGCGGCAACGATTGTTTTAGATTTCAAAAGAAGCCGCCGGCGCGTGTATCATAACCATGTACTTCCGAAAAGCGGCAAATTTCTTTGAGAAGTAAGTACAAAACCTTTGATGCCGCATTATCAAAGTGCCG